TCCGCCGCCTCGCCCACCGCGGAAGCCGCCGCCACGGCCGCCTCGGAATCCGCCACCGTCTTCGCGGTCGTCACCGCCGCGACCGCCTCGGAAGCCGCCGCCGTCTTCGCGATCACCACCGCCGCCTTGGTAGGCAGTGCCATAAGTCTGCGCCGCGTATTCGGCGCTCTCCTGCTTCTTTTGGATGACCTTCTGCTTGAAATGCTTCTCCTGTTGATTGGTTAACACATACGCGCGCATAAGTGTGGTTGGGGGGAGAAAGAGAGAGGATAGTCAGATCAGCATGACAGACGGTAGATCTGTGCATGAGGCAAGCAACGAGCGGGCCGTGGCGATGTTGAAACGTACCCTCTGCTTTTGAAGTTTATCTCGCTTGCTGTCGATCTTTTCCCTGCGAGCGGCGCTGTTACCTCCGCCTGTGTGTGTGGTGTGTGTGTGCGAGGGAACGGTGACACTGTGAGCATGGAGTGTCCAGAAGCACCTCGGCATCGGCCAGTGTTTGGTAAGTACCTCCGGCAGTGAGTTCCACGTTGATCTGTCTGCCGTCCATGTTGGTGTGGTGCATCTTCAACGCTTTCTGCGGTTGGGATTTGAGGAGTGAGGCCTTGCGTGGGTAGGGCCAACAATGGCTCACAGCCCCGCGAGCCGCACAGAACCAAAGGAGAGTGCCAAGAAGAAGATGATGATGATAAACGGAGACGGTACCTGCAAGGCGAAGAAGTCCTGCACCTCGAGGAAGGCACAGCCACGAGGCTCGTTGGTTCCCTTCTTTGTCAGCAGGCGCACGTCCACAATGTTGTCTGTCCAGGCGCGTGAAGATGCGAGAGTGAGTGCACTCACACTCTCCCGCAAGTAGTGGCAAGTGGAGTGGAAGGGCACCTGCCAGGGCACGGAAGTGTTCGGTGATGCTCTCTTTGGTGGCCTCGTACGAGAGGTTGCCTGCACCACACAAGAAACAGAAGGAAATCGCGATTAAATAAAATCACAATGTATAATAGGGGAGACGAGGCTGGAGGCATACCAAGGAAGAGGATGTATCGCTTCTTGGGTCCTTCTTCTTCCTCCTCCTCCTCCATCTGGTCTTTTTTGCCCTTTTTCTTGTTCTTCTTCTTGGCCGTGGCATCGCCATTTTCGCCGTTCTCGCCCTCAGCATTCTCTCCGGTGTCAGCCGAGGTGGTCTTTCGGCGCTTCTTGTTCTTCTTCACCTCTTCCAGGGGCACCAGCTTCACCTCGCCATTTTCATCTTCGATGAGCTCCTTAATCTCCTCTTGCTCATCTTCCGGCGGCACAATCTCTACGGGTGGCTTCTCTTTCACTTCCTTCTTCACCTGGTCCCTCTTCCTCTTCTTGTTGCCATTCTCAGCCGTCTTGGATGCGGCCTTCTTCTTGGCAGCATTTGCCGACGCGGCCGCCGGAGCTGATCGCTTGCCCTTACCCTTGGCTGGCGATTTGGTGGCAGGGGCAGTGGTAGTGTCTGAAAGAGGAATGAAGTCGTCCTGCGCTTCGATGCCAGAGGCTGACATCTTGTGTGCACGGAGCGGAGAAGAAACAATTCAACAAATTGCAACGCAGAAACAGAAAACAATCATCGCCTTCTGCAGTTTTTCCACAACCGATATACGTTAGAAAGTAGTAGGTTAAGAGTAGATGAACAATTTTGCAACGTAGCATTGTATGCGAATACAAGCGAATGCAGGAAGGGGGGGGGCAAATTGAATGGCCATCCTAAGCAATAAATACGTGAGGACAAGAATAGGAATGGGGATTTATGACTTGGGGTCTTTACAGGCGTGAAGGACCGCGCCGACTGCATCGATCGAAGTACTCCTCTCGCAAGGTTCGCAGCGGGGCACTTAGTGGCCAGCGGAGCCGGCGATTTCGTTAGCCCTCTTGACGTCGACCTTGTCCTGGCCCTTGCCGAGGATCCACTGCTCGACCTTCATGTTGACGCTGTCCCTCTCAGCGGCCTTGGCGCGGAAGGGCTCCTTGAGCGCCCTGCGGGTGAGGATGGCGCAGGTGTTGGAGTAGCGCAGGTAAGAGAAGCCAGCAGATCTCCACGACGACATGTTGTAATGATTTGATTGATTGTCTGGATCAGTTCACGAGTCTCCTGCGCCGCCCCTAATTCCCAGTGCTTACACCTAAGACCGCAAGGCCTGCGTTGCCAGCCAAAGCAGAGCCCTCACGAATGTGAGGAATGTGGGCCAAACTGAAGCTCGATTGGTGGAGCCAGCCGAAACTACCGGAAGTTTTCGGTAAAAAGTGCTGGAAGGACAGAGATCATTAAAATAGTCTTGCGCAACCCCGACACGGCTAACTTTGAACCAGAAACACCTGCAGAGGAACACTCTTCTCACTCCACTCCCTCTTCTTCCGCACACACCGTGTAGTCTTGGACCATCATCGCACACAGAGATGAAGGCGCTGCGCGGCAAGGGAAAGGAGACAAAGTCGGCCAAGAGCACGAGCACGAGCGTGCCCAAGCGGTGGTCCGGACAGTTCTCCAATGTCTCGACCAGCAGCGATGGCGGGACTCCGCTGACGCTCGACGGCCTGCTCGAGCACGAGCGCGCAATGGATAACTCCAAGTGCTCCACAGCCTACGGCCTGTCGCGCCTCAAGCGCACCGACCCGTCGGAGTGGACCGTCTCCGACGTGGGCGTGTGGCTCGACTGGCTCTCCCTGAGCGAGTACCGGGCCGAGTTCATGAAGAACGCCGTCTCCGGTGCCGAACTCAAGGAACTCGACAACGCCGACTTTATCTCTCTCGGCATCAACAAAGTACGTTCGAACTCTTGGTTGCTATGTACCTTGAGGCATTTATACGGATATATTTATGTAGAGACCTGACCATGGGCACGGGTGTTCAGGTGGGCCACAGGAAGAAGCTGGAGCGGCGGGTCAAGATGCTGCAGCACGGGCTGGACCCGATGGGCGAAGACGACGACGGCAATTCGTCGCACTCGTCCTCCCACTCCTCGATCCAGTCCTCCCACTCCACCAACTCCAAGGCCTCGCACAAGGTGGACCCGCCCGTCCCTCTCTCCACTTCTTCTTCCTCTTCTATTTCTATTCTCTTCTATTTCACATTCTCAACTTTGCCTTTTGCTGACGTGTCATTACAATGCCACAGTCGAGCGCCAGCGCCAGTGTGGCCTCGGAGGGCTATCAGGCGAAATTGAAGAAGGACAAGGTGCGAACTAGGCGCTGGGTGTGAGAAGGAACTGATGAGTGACAGCTGACGCACCCGGCCGTTCATTCCCATGGGCCACACAGATCACGCTCAAGTGCGTGTTCAAGGATGACATCTCGCTGCTGCACGTGTCGCCGCTGGTGGAGTTCGCGGAGCTGGGGAAGAAGATCAAGAAGGAGTACGGCCGCATGATGGAGATCAAGTACAAGGACGCCGAGGGCGACCTCATTCGTGTCAAGACCACCAAGGGCCTCCGCAGCGCCATCAAGAACTGGTCCGGCGAAGGTGCGTTCGTTACACAAGATGTGCTGATGGGGAATGCTGCCAGCAGCGGTCGCGCTGACCGCTCCCCGTATCTGTACGTGCGTAGGGTCGCTCAAGCTGCTGCTGTCGGAGAAGAAGAAAAAGATCACCAAGCGCAACGCAGACATCATGGACACGATGATCGACGCTGTGATCACGATCGACCCCAAGGGCAAGATTCTGGTGTTCAACAAGAAGGCCGAGGAGATCTTCGGCTATCGCAAGAAGCAGGTGCTCAAGAAGAACGTCAACATGCTCATGCCGCCCGATGTGGCCCTCAGTCACGACGGCTACCTGAAGACCTACAAGCGCACCAAGAAGCGACACATCATCGGCATTGGCCGCCAGGTCAACGCTCGACACTCGGACGGCCACGAGTTCCCGATTCATCTCTCCATCAGCGAGAGCAAGACCAACGACGATACCCTCTTCACCGCCACCATCCGCTTGATCACCGCTGAAGCCACTCGCGAGGCCGCCGCGGTCGAGTCTGCGTCGACGTCGACAGCGGGCGGGGTGTCGACCGCCTCGCCCAGCGACATGGCGATGTTCGGTCTGCTCGACTGCCTGCTCGACTCCACGGTGGTGATCAACCAGAACGGCATCATCAAGTTCTGGAACAAGGCGGCCAGCGAGCGGCTCGGGTTCTCCAAGGAAGAAGTCGTCGGCAAGAACATCAAAATGTGCATGCCGGCCTCTATTGCAGGTAAAACCCCCAGAACCAGTGTGCCTGTGCCTGTGCCTGTGTGTGTGTGTGTGTGTGTGTGCGTGTGCGCTTACTCACAACTGCGCTGCCTATCGAACGTGTTCAGATAAACACGACGGCTATATTCAGCGGTACATGGCAACGGGTGAGGGCAAGGTGGTCGGAGTCGGCCGCAACGTGGTGGCCCAGAAGAAGAACGGCGAGATCGTGCCGGTGCATCTGTCGCTCACCGAACAGCAGATCGGACCCGATCAGCGCTACTTCACCGGCGTGATGCGGGCCGTCGAGGAAGAGCTCGAGCAGAAGAAGACCGTCCTGCAGCAGGAGCGCGAGGTTATGGACGGTCTCGCCGTTCCCGCCATGATCAGCGACGAGACTGGTACGCTCCGCACACTCTCTCCCTCCGCATTGCGCGCACGTCTCACACCTCTCCGCAGGCAAGATCCACGGATTCAACAGCGCGCTGACAGGTTTGCTGGGCTACAACCTGATCGACGTCATCGGTCGCAGCAGAGTCATGCTCATGCCCGCCGACACCGCCAAGTACGCGCCTCTCCCATTCTCACCCGGCCATGTGACGTGTCACTCATTCTTAATTTAATGTTAAATTTTTTTTGTTTCTATCATCGTCATCGTTGCAGGGAACACGAGGGCTTCATTCAGGGCTTCCTGAAGAGCGGGGATGCGGGTGTGTTGCGTGAGGGGCGCGATCTGGTGTGCGTCCACAAGGACGGCTCCATGCTTCCCCTCCATCTGAGCGTCAACGCTAAGAAGGACGGCCCCAAGTACCTCTTCACCACCATCTTCCAGAAAATGTAATCCCTTGTACACATTGTACCATCATCATGTTGATCAACATATAACTTAACATTTATTATATATGCCGACACGTTGTACATTCCGCCGTATGCTCTTTTTCCTTTTCCATTTCCTTTCGTTTCATTTTAATCATTTAGATAAAGATAAAAGATGGAAGTGGCCGAGCCTGGCGAAGTGGTGGAGGCGCCCGTGGTGCCGGTGTGCAGGCATTGGCAGCGGATGGGGTGGTGTCTCTACGCAGAACGGTGCCGCTTCCGACACCCGGAGCAGGCGGTAGCGGCCGTGGCAGAGGCCGGAAGTGGCAGCGCTACTGCCACCTCCACCTCCTCCAGCCTTGCCGAGGATCGTCGACTTGCCTTCACCAAGTACCTTCACCAGCCCTGTTATTTATTATTGTTATTGTTATTATTTCTTTTAATTTTTTATTTATTTATTTGCTAACTCGACCAGCCCCGGCATCGTAGGCTGAGCAACGAGCGACAACAGAACAGAGGAGCGGGGCGGAGGAACAAGATCATGAACCGAAGCAAGGCGGGCGCTTTCCGGTGCGACGCGGCACGGGCCGACGCCTCGGGGCTGAAGGGTGCTGACGCTTGCGTGTGTGGTGTATGGGGGGTGGGCAGGCGATGGCTTGCGGATACGTTCGGACGGGACGTGTTAGGGTCGGGCACGGGACTATTGGACATTGCCGGTGGTAAGGGCGAGCTCTCGTTCGAACTGGCCAACCTCACCGGCGTGCCCACCACCGTCGTCGACCCGCGGCCCCTCCAGCTCGACCGCTTCATTAAGCGGTGCGTAGCCAACGCACACACGCGCGCTTTTGCACGCTTTTGATGACACACACACACACACACACCACACTTTTGTCGCGTGCGCAGGCTGCTGGTGGGGATCTACCACAGGACGGGCCCGTGGCAGGCCTACAATCACCTGCCAGTGCCTGCCGATGCATCGCACGTGCGGACTCCCGGGCACCTGCGCACCTTCTTCGACGACCACCTCCTGCGGCTACTCGATCTCCACCAGCAGGGTCGAGTCGACGTTCGTCTCTCTCTCTCTCTCTCGTCCGTGGTCAAACCCATTCCAGGCGCTCCTGGCGGCTCACACTGTGGCCACACACACACACAACACACAACACACACACAACTGCAGGAGGCTGCAGAAGGGTTCCAGGCCATGCTCTCAACGGCGCGGGCTGTCGCATGGACGGAAAAGGGCCTGGTGGCACAGGCAGAAGGCGATGACGAAGCGGAGACCGAGATCAACGAGGACGGGCACTCCATGCCGCAGGAGGACGACGGGTCGGGGAGTAATACGGTCGGTACGAGCAACGGCCATGAGGGGCTCGTGCACTGGCCTGCCGTGCAGAAGCTGGTGACGGAGTGCTCCCTCATCGTGGGCTTGCACCCGGATCAAGCCACCGAAGCCATCGTGGACTTTGCGCTGCGCTGGTATACTCGATCTCCACCACACCGCACCACCGCACGCGCACCACCGCACGCGCGGGCTTACGTCAGGTGGTGGGCGCGGGGTGCAGGAACAAGGGGTTCGCGATTGTGCCGTGCTGTGTGTACCACAAGCAGTTCCCGCGACGACGGCTGGACGGGGCGCCCGTCACCACCTACCAGCAGTTCGTGGCCTACCTGACGGCCAAGGCGCCCGACCGGATCAAGACCGCCACGCTCGACTTCGAGGGCAAGAACCTCGTCCTCTACGCCCTCCCGCCCGTCCACCTCAACGTCAGCCCCAAATAAAAGGAGGTTCTTTTAATTCTTTTTCTTTTCTTTGTGTTGTGTTGTGTCTTCTTCAAGAAGAAGAAGAGGGTTTGAGCGTCTTGACGTAGGCGATGGCAGCGTCCTTGGTCGACTGGTCGAGGTTGGCCAACTGCCAGGAGATCAGCTTGGCCTTGACCTCGCCTGGGACGCGTGGCGTTAGTCAGTGACTGCTGCCGCGGGAGGCGATCGCACAAGATAGGTGCGGGCAAGGTACCGACAAACGGGCTTGGCTTCACCTGCAAGATCTCCATGATCTCACGACCCTGTACGCGCACACGTGATTACCGTAAGACGCGCTTTACGGTATTGCGTGGTGTGTGTGGCGTGTGGCGTGTGTGTGTCGTGCGTGAGAGGTACCGAAAGCAGGGGCGGGATTCCGCTCAACGATACCAGGCCAGAGTCCTTCATGGCCTGCACGAACGCGTTGCCTACAGCGAACAAGGGTCAGGCTGGTGTTTTGACAAAATGACAAAATAATATGCGGTGGTACCGTCATCAATGCCAGGCGAAGGCGGCAAGCCGAGCAGGTGCGTCCGGGCAACAAAGGCCAGACGCGCAGCCGTTTCCCAAGCGTGGCCTCCCGTCGTCCTGTGCGCAAACGCAAAAAGGCATCAACGCACGCTCGTGGCCCAGTGCGTGCGTGCGTGCGTGGTGGTACTGCTCGATGCTGCGCATCCAGTTGCCCAGCTCCACTCGGTTGTTGTGCAGAACGCGCGGCAGAGACTCGCTCCCCGATTCCACCTCGGCCGCAAGTTTCTCGATGAGCGGGAGCAGGCGCTTGGTCGCGATCAGCACGCCAGCGACGCAGCTGGCCTGCTCACTCGAAAGCTGCACAGGCGTGACCAGCCAGCGCGGTGAGCCCACAGGGGAAAGCGACAGGAAGGGTGGTGGCTGACGTACGGCGAGGCCCAGCTTGAAGACGGCCTCCGTGTGGCCCCTGATCCTGTTATTTTCCAGATAGCTCAGCTCGTCTTCGCCGCGCCCGCCGTTCGGTTCCACGTCATCGACGTCGCCCGCCCCGGTTGCGTGCGCCATGCTGCTGTCGCTGGCGCCGATGTTGTTGAGCAGGGCGGGCATGAGGAACGCGGATGCCAGCGCGAGGCCATTCCCGACTGGCATGCCTCCCGACACGGATGGCAGGGCTTGTACGAGCTCAGTGCCCTTCGGCGCCTCGTTGACCAGCCTGGGGGAACACACACACGTTGAGCGCTCTGCCGCACGCACACGCGCACAGGCGGGGCATGCACTAACCTGAAGTGCTCGCGCAGACAACGCAGCGCGGTTTGCTTGAGATCCGGGGACCAGGAGCCGACGATGACCTCCTCGCCGGTGGCGTCTTGCAGGGGCCGTCGCTGCGGCGGCTGGCCTTGGGGGCTGCTGCCAACAACGTCGACGTCCTGGCCCGCGCTGCTGGGCAGGTAGGGCGGCAGAGGGAAGATTACGTCGTGGAGGTCCAGCGCAGCGATCTGCTCGAGCGCGTCGAGCGCCTTCTCGGTGTCCAGGCGGAGCATCTTGTTGAGCTCCAGGCCCACGCGCTGTCGACTCACCTTTGCCCTCAGCGCTTCCTGCGCTCAAGAGAGCGTGCGCGCGTGTAAGACAAGACGATGATGGTGAGGGTGATGATGAGCTGTAGCAGCTCAGGTACGTTGAACTCGTACGTGGACTTCAGGTCGTTGCATGGCCTCGGCCAGCTCCGGGACGAAGCGGAACGCCAGCATGGCCTTGAACCGCACTCCGCGCAGCACTCTGCGAGGAAAGTATCAGTCGGCCCGTACGACCAAACGCTGCAGTGGGGGTGGTGGGTGCGGCACCGCAGCGGGTCGTCGAGCAAGGTGGCGAGGGGCTCGTCTGGCGTGCGTAGCAGGCCGGCCTCGAGGTCAGCCAGGCCCTGCGCAGTGAGTTAGTGTAAGCGGAGGGGCAAAAGCGCTCGCACGCGCAGACAAACAACCAGCGCTTGACCGTGTTGACGAGGTTGTTGGGCGCGAGCATGTCACGTACGTGGCCCGTGTAGTCTTCGATGCGATCCTCCCTGATGTTGTAATAGAGCGCGTTGATCGTGAAGTCACGCCGAGAGCTGTCCTGCTTCGGACTGCCCAACCCCTGCACAACACCCCAACACCGCGCGCGTGAAGAAGTGCGTGTGCGTGTGCGGTGGTGCGTATGCGTATGGTGCGCACACCACGCCGTACCACGGCAGTCGGTATTCGGCTGCCTGGGCGGTAGCTCTCCGTGCGCAGGTTGACCAAGTCCACCGAGTGCCCGAAGATAGAGACCACTGCCGTCTCCAGGTGCTTGGACTTGGCGGGGTTGATCCGCACGATGCCTGCGCCCGCACCCACGCCGCGTGTCAGTCGCTGCGCGCACGCACGCGCCTCACTCCACTTCTTTCTGGGGCCGCACCGATCTTGGATGTGGGCAGGTTGTGGTGTTTGTTGTATCGCGAGATCCAGCGGGCAAACTCCTGGCCCATCATGTTGTTGAGAGCGATGTCCAAGTCCACCTTCTCCTGCTGCTTTGGTGCGCTGGCCGGAGCTGCACCTCCCGCGGCCAAGAGCTGAACGCGCGTGCGTGTGAGGCAATGACAACGCCGGCGTGTAGAAGGTAGGTTGGAGGTGGTCGGAGGGCTAAATCAAGGGGCCTTACCTTGTCTCTCACCCAACCGCCCGCAACGCGCAGCTCGGAGTTGAGGTTGCTGGCCTTGACCACATCGACAAGGTATTCGAAGATCCTTCGCTCCTCGTCGCTCACGGCGATGCTCTTTCCGGGCAGCCGCAGTGGAAGGGAGGAGGAACGGGTAGTGGAGTAGGCGAGGCGCCGTGGCATGACGAAGGAGGGGGGAGGGGAGGCGGAAGCGCAGGTGAGTGGTGTGCATCGTCGGATGAGGCAAAATCTTTCGTTGAATGCAGCAGCCCATCGTCGCGCATTTGCCGTGGTGGCCAGAGACGCAGCTCTACCAGAGAGGGTTGGTGGCAAACAACCAGGGTACCACGCCGCCGGCACTGAACGCCAGCGGCCTGACCGCAACATCCTGCAAGTTGGTTTTGCTGGCGCCAGCACCCCACGCGGAGCAGAAAAACAGGAATGTGGGTCGAAAAAGAGAGTGCCTCACGTGAGGATCGAACTCACGACCTTCAGATTATGAGACTGACGCTCTACCGACTGAGCTAGCAAGGCTGGTGACAGTTATGTGATCTGGGATGGTGCCTCCATCATGAAAAAAGTTCATTGGAGGAGAAGGGTATATATATTGGTCCCTTTACCTCCTGCATGCTAAGCTACCATCTGAGCAACACACCTGTTACACCCCTGATTTATGCTAAATAGTACTTAATGGCATTAACTGTTTGGGAGGCCCTACTGGGAAGGCTCAGTTCAAGATGTGGTCCTTCAAAGGAAAAGTAAAAAAGAAATTTCATTCCACATCATTTATGCACATTGGTGGTGTCCACAGTGGCAAAAAGATATGCAGGTCACACAGGAATTAAACCTGGGCAAAAAAGATATGCATCCGCCGGGAATTGAACCCGGGTCTCCCGCGTGGCAGGCGGAAATCTTGCCACTGGACCACGGATGCCTTGCTTGCCTGAAGGTCGCTGCCAGCAGGCAAAATGCTCGTTATTTACATTTCAGGATGTCCTTGGCTCTGCAATGCCATGTTGTCTCCTTTCACATTCATGAATTCTGACCAAGATTAATGCCCTTCATTTACCTTTTGAGCCACACTTGGTACTATCATTGAGTTTTTTTAGTTGTTTTGTTTGTGTTTAACAGACTGTAACTGCAGCTTAACACAACCACTTTGTGCACAGCCTTGTGCTCAGCAACAGCTGCCATCTTAAACAAAGACTGGAGAAAAAATATTGGAGAAGGGTATCAATCCCTTTACCTCTCGCATGCTAAGTGAGCGCTCTACCATCTGAGCTACACCCCCATTACTTACACTATCACTGACTTGCTGATTTATTTTTGGTCACAGTGGCCAAACACTAATTATCACTCATTTCAACCCACTTTTGAGTTTTTGCTGGACTAATATTTGAAAATGTTCAATCTCCTAAAAGCACATAACTTGAATCACACAAAACTTGTGGTCATTTGAAATGAGAGGTCCAGTCATTTTGAAAAGTGATTTTGTTTGTCAGTTTAAGCTCATAAAAATAGTTTTGACAACACAAAAATGGTTTTATTTTAAGAATAGCAAGACAAAATTGGGAGCATCTTGAGAAATGGCAGATTAAAATACCATCATAATGAGAGATATGATGCTGTAACTGGGCCATCAGTCAAGGTCTGGAATGACCAATTTCTATCATGTACATGTTTTGGTACACTTACTTTATTGCATCCATGTCCATAATGACTATGCACGTTTTTTTCGGTCCTTTCCTGAACCACTGGCACACAGAAACCATAAAAGGAAAAATCATGGCTGCTGGGATTTAACTGGACAAAAAGTCAATTTTTATTCTGTACACAAGCAATTCAGAGGGGCTGTTTGTCACATCTCAGTGTGGCGAGTGCCCTTCATCTCTTACTTCTTGGCCTCCTGAGGAGGTGGCTGCTCACTGTGAGGGTGGCCTGGAGCTGCTCTTTGTCATTCAGTTGATATCAAATTGTTGCAGCATTCATCTTCACATGATCTGTGGGGCAAGGAGGACATAAATTAGCAAACATTCTATCATATACATGTACACAATAGGATGTCCTGCAGTTTCAAAGCATAATGGGCTTTGATAATAGCATGTATGCAATGGGGCAGTTGCCACCTTCAGGAGCTTCAACAGTTCCTTGCTGTTGGCCATGGCTGATGGCAGGGTGACTTGCACCTATGCATACACAACAACAAAAACTGTAAAACCAGACACTTACTTTATCACATACACATACACAATGACTACATGTTTGACCTACCAATACTTAGTTTATTATGTACACATACATTATCTGGAAAATCAGAACTTTGCTTGTTTTGTGTAAGTCCTTTGAACAACCTCAAACTGCACCTTGCTTTTGCTTTCATGCCCTCCATCAATTCCATAATCAGTGGCCAACATGCTGCCCTCAACTGCCCTGTAAATCAAAAATGTCAAATCTCACATGATTTTAGCACAACAAAAATTCCACAGTCATTTGTGACCTCTCATTTCAAATTACCACAAGTTACAAGAAAGTGGAAATGAAGGCCTGCATTTTCAATACAAGATTAAACCAACCTTGAACTCACCTGCTAAGATTTTTAACCTGGGTAGGGGGTACCCCTTGGGGCACTTTGGATCCTTGACCATGTAGACAATTGTTCACCTGGGGTGTGGCCATGGGGAAAAAGCCCCCAGAGGAACAAGCAAAAAAATGAAGATCTCCCCCGCCGGGATTTGAACCCGGGTCGTCCGCGTGACAGGCGGAAATGCTAGCCAACTACACCACAGGGGACTTCTGATGTGCCGAATGCAAATTTGCTGCAGAACAGATTCATTCTGGATAACAAGCACCGAAAAGCACAAACCAGAGTCCTGTACTTGTGGGTCTTATTGGGCCTCATTTTACTTGGTGCCAATCCAGTACCTGCAAAAAAGAATGTTCTTGGTGGATACAGAAAAACAGAGTGAAGGAAGCAATGTCAGCAGGAGTGTGGAGGTGCCATGGCAGCCAGTCCTGCCCCAGTGTGTTGGTACTGGCTGCAAGCTGCCACAGCTGTGCATGTCACTCTCCTCGCCTCAACTTTTGGGCTCAATGGCAGTAGATTCCGTGGTGCAACGGTAGCACGCAAGCCTAACACGCTTGAGGTCGCGAGATCAACACTCGCCGGAATCATTTTTACTCCCATCTGGATGAAACACAAATCTATGCACCAGAAAAAAGCAAGAAATGGCCTCTGTTTGTTGAGTGAATTTTGTAGTTGATAAATGGGTGTTTGTGTGTTTTCAGAAATATGTGCAGAAAAAGCTCAGAAAAGCTAAAAAAAAGGTAAGTTGGTCTGTACAAAAAACCCATCCACATGTTGGATTGCTAAAATGTACAGAAATCAGCAAACAATAGGTGTCAAAACAGAAAATATGAAAAATGGGAGCTTTTTTTGGAAAACAACTTCTCATCAAACAACCAGCTGATATTTTGTACATATATGTACAGACACGTACATAGTAGTTTTTGCAAATGCAAAGTCTGCCCTGCATTGCATTGTGGTGGCAGGGACATCCTGAAATGTAAATAACGAGCATTTTGCCTGCTGGCAGCGACCTTCAGGCAAGCAAGGCATCCGTGGTCCAGTGGCAAGATTTCCGCCTGCCACGCGGGAGACCCGGGTTCAATTCCCGGCGGATGCATATTTTTTTTGCCCAGGTTTAATTCCTGTGTGACCTGCATATCTTTTTGCCACTGTGGACACCATCAATGTGCATAAATGATGTGGAATGAAATTTCTTCTGTGAGATACAGTCTTTCTTCTAACAACTATTGGTGTTACAGAAAAATATGGCAGTGTGGGTGGGACCAAAAATGCTGCCCCAACCAGCAAAAATTGTGGCAGAAAGATGTTACTTATTTGTTTTGCAATCTGCTGTTGAGCATGCCTGAATGTAGTTTTTTTTTTTTTTTTTTGAGCTCTTTTACAACCACTAACCCCAAAAAGACCTCCACCTGCACCACTGTAGTCAAGTCACCAGTGTGTAAGGTCTGGCTTTGTTGATTATGAGAATGAGGCTGAAAATAGTTGGATCTACAAACTCTCAGTGACCCACAGTTTGTTAATGCATCAATGCAACTAGCTGCTCAGATGGCCAAGCTTGTAGCTTGGTCCCTATTAGGGATGTGGCTGCTGGGATTAATGAAGTGACCCATGAGTATGGCATGGAACTGGAGTATCCCTGCTGGACAGGTCCTTCCAGCCTGCACATTTGGGGCATCTTAGAGGTTACATGAAGGGTCTACTCAAGGTAAGCAGTTCCTCAGTGGTTAGGGTTTGCATGAAGTGTTTAATGGTCTTGCAATGCTGATTGAAAATCAATCACACTGGAACCATGGTTAGGCTCTTGCATGCATGCACCAGCTTGGCTTGGTGCACTGCAACATCAAATAGGCCAAGTTAATCATCCTTCTCCACAGCACATTCTAACCACCAGATTTCTGTCCACTTCACTTTGGCCAGGACCCTCACTGCAATAGGTGGCAAAAGGGGAGTGCCTCACGTGAGGATCAAACTCACGACCTTCAGATTATGCGACTGACGCTCTACCGACTGAGCTAGCAAGGCAACGCGTGGTGTCATCGTGTTTGTTAGGGCGGTTGCCCTCTTTTGATGATAGAGACGTATTTTTGTGGGTTTTTGGGCTTCGTGTCTTGTCGAAGATGAACGCCCGAAGAGCGGATGTGTTGCGGTTGTACAAGCGTGCGATCGGTCTTGCCGGACCGTATGTGGACTCTCCAGGAGTGCGCGAGTTCATGCGAACGGAGATGGTCCGCGAATTGACCTCGCATGGCGTATCGCGAGAGAAGATTCTTGAAATCGAGCAAGTTGCGCAGAAGAGGGAAAATTTGATCGAGGCGTGCAAGGACAACGTGCGCACCCTCTTCAGGGATCGCATGGATGAGAAGAAGCCAAGCGAAATCGACTACCTGCTCCGGCAAGGCGAGGTCGAATTGGCTGCGGTGGAGGACAAGATCATCCGACAGAAGCGAAAATTCGGCATGGTGAAGGAAGGAGGAGACATTCGCTACGTCGTCACACCAAGCGAAGAATAAATCGCTCGTTTCTCTCCCTCCTTCATCAACATTCAGCGAAAAGAGAAAAGGAAAGAGCCTGCAGTACGCGAACAGGCACCGGCACCCGCGCACCACCCAACCCCACGCTGAGGACAAAACGGCGAGCAACCATTTGTTGGTGAGGCAACAGAGAACGCCAGCTACGGCGGGCACAGGAGTTGAAGAGGCTTGTGGCGTTCAACCTCTTCCCGTTTTTTCTGGGCCACGTCGCCTGCCCACGGACTTTGACAGCCGTTAGCCCGCACTGCTTTGCTGAGATTGCCCCAAGCCTGCTGGCCGCCGGCGAGGGTGGTCTTCGGGTTCGTTTTCCGGTTGTAGGCCCAGGAGCCTATGGCGACATAAGGGCTGGCCGCAACTATCCTCATTGCCTCCGTTCGCCGGAGGACGTCGCTTCCGAGAGTCTCGAACCGGTTGCGTCCGGCGTTTTGGTGGGACGGAAAAAACAATCATACAGCGCCGCTGATTGGCTGAGAAAAAGAATAATAGGGGCAAACTCCTGTCTTTGCTTCTTTGTCTTCTCGGCGCGTGTCCAGTCCACCTCTGCTGTCTCAGTCCAAACACCACATCCCTTCCACATGGCTTCCTCCAAGACTTTCCTCTTCACCTCCGAGTGTGTGTCGGAGGGCCACCCTGGTACGCGGCTCTCAGTTTCTCACCTACCGGCGGGAGAGGATCGTCGATTCTCCCCGCGATTATTTCAATTTTGGAAGATGAGAGTTGAGATTGGTGCTAAAGGCAAGACTAACGTTGGATTCCGCTGCGAATAATAATAATAGACAAGCTCTGCGATCAGGTCTCGGATGCCATCCTGGATGCCTGCCTTGCCAACGATCCCTACAGCAAGGTCGCTTGCGAAACCGCCAGCAAGACCGGAATGGTGATGGTGTTCGGCGAGATCACCACCAAGTCGTCCTTCGACTACCAGAAGGTGATCCGTGAGACCGTCAAGAGGATCGGCTTCACCGATTCCTCGATCGGTAAGCTAACACCGCCGCCAACCGTCGAACGTCAATTTTCATTTCCGGCCAAAATTAATTTCTAATTTCGCTTTTCCGATGTAATCAATCGCAGGTTTCGACTACAAGACCTGCAACATCCTCGTTGCCATTGAGCAGCAGAGCCCCGACATTGCTCAGGGCGTGCACGTCGGCCGTTCCGATGACGACCTCGGTGCCGGTGATCAGGGCCACATGTTCGGCTATGCCACCAACGAGACCCCCGAGTTCATGCCCATGACCCACGTCCTCGCCACCCGCCTCTGCCAGAGGATGACCGAGGTCAGGAACAACTCCATCCTCTCGTGGATGCGCCCCGACGCCAAGACCCAGGTCACCGTCGAGTACAGGAACGAGAACGGCACCCTCATCCCCCTCCGCGTCCACACCGTGGTCATCTCCGTCCAGCACTCCGAGGACGTGACCAACGAGGAGATCCGCAAGGGTCTCATGGAGGAGGTCATCAAGCCCAGCATTCCCGCTCACCTCCTCGACGCCGAGACCATCTTCCATCTCAACCCGTCCGGCAGGTTCGTCATCGGTGGTCCCCAGGGTGACGCCGGTCTCACTGGCCGCAAGATCATCATCGATACCTATGGTGGTTGGGGCGCCCACGGTGGTGGTGCCTTCTCCGGCAAGGACCCCTCCAAGGTCGATCGCTCGGCTGCCTACGCCGCCAGGTGGATCGCCAAGTCGCTCGTCGCCGCCGGCCTCGCCAACCGCGCCCTCGTGCAGGTCTCGTACGCCATCGGTGTCTCGCACCCCCTCTCCGTCTTCGTCGACTCCTACGGTACCGCCCAGGGTGGCCGCACCGACGAGGATCTCCTCGCCATCATCAAGTCCAACTTCGACCTTCGCCCTGGCAAGATCATCAACGATCTCCAGCTCAGGAGGCCCATCTACGAGAAGACCGCCTACCACGGTCACTTCGGCCGCAACGACCCCGACTTCCTCTGGGAGGCGCCCAAGAAGCTCAACTTCTAAGCGGACACGAAGCAGCTCATCTCGCCACAGTATTTTAGTCCTTTTATTCAAAAATACAAAAACAATTCAAAAAAATAATTCTTGCATTTTTCGCATTCCATCAGCTCGGGAATGGCAAATAAATAGAGAAAAAGCGAACGCGCGAAGAAAAACAAACATAGAGGATGGAGTGCCGCCACTGCGGCCATGCCGGTGCTGAGCAGGTGGACGGGGAGGGCTTGGTGTGCATGGGATGTGGCTGGGTCCTGGACGCAACCCTGGAATTGGTCGAGGAGGGCGAGAAGCAGGTCCTTACCTCGGGAGCAATCATCAACCAATCGTCTGGCACCTTCGTTGGGGTGGGCGACAACGGTGAAGGCCACTTGATATACGGAGGCGGCATACATAGCCACATTCTCTCTTCCGCCGTTCGGGCCAAGAGTCGGCAGGTACCCACCCCAAACCGACCCTGCGCGCCATGTCTTCTTGTGACCCTCCTTCACTTCCCTCATCTTAGGATGCCATGACACGCATCTTTGACAACGTGGGTCCGCAACTGGGCCTTGGGAGCAACTCCAGGCGGCGCATGTGCTACATCATGGGGCAAGTGCTTGGCTTTCTGGACGATAGCAAGAGGCACTACAAAAGGCAACGGAAGGACGCAGATGCGATGCAGAACGCGGAGACCGAGGAGGAGAGGAAGAAGCGAAAGGGCCTCGAGAAGAGGAGCAGAGAGAAGGAGCTACACCACAATTCCGTTCTTAGTCGCGTCAAGCCTCTCGCCGGTGCCATCATCTACGCCGTGTGCAGAGAAGAGGAGAAGCCTGTCACGCTTGGCACTGTCGCGGTTCGTTTACCCCGGAACTGTTATCGTCCTCGATGCTCTGCACTTCGGAACTCACGCACTCTCACATCACTGTCGCGTTCTCCATGCAGATGGCTGTGGGCGAAGGTCCATACGCGGTCGGCAAGTCCTTCACGCAGATGAAGCGACACTTGAATATCGGCAACCATGAAGTCGATCCTATCCTCTTCATCGAACCAGCCGTGAGCAAGCTCAAACTTTCCACGCCGGTATGATCTCCTTCTGCATCGTAGATCAGGAAACCGTCGCTAACGTGGCCCTCTGCTCCTCCAACAGGAACGCAAGGCTCTCCGCAACTTGGCCATTGCGATACTCGAGTACATAGCAGACAAGGAATGGATTATGGAAGGCAGGGTGAGGGCCGGCGTAGCGTTGGCCTCCGTTATGCTGGCTGCCGAGTTTTCCAAGATCAAGATCAGTTCGTTGCCTCCACCCTCATTCTATGGCTATGCCTCTCAGCTTAGCGCCTAGGGCAAAGCTACCAGTACTAATGCGCTACATCCACGGCTTTCGTAGGCCCGCAGCTGATGATGCACCCTGATGTCAAATTAAGAACCGTTAAGGAGAGAGTCGCCGAACTGAAGAAGGCTATGATTCGCTGCGCCGATGAGTATCTTCCCTTTCCGTCGGGCACGGTGACCAGGTACTGCCGATGCCCTTCATCAGCCCAATAGCATTCCCCTGCATGGTAATAGCGATCTGATAGATGCCGCTCTGCGCGTGTGCTACAGGCAGAACCTGCATCACTTTGCCGATCAGATTATCAAGGCGACGGCATGTATCACCGACGCCAAGAAGGAGGAGGTCACTCGGGTGTTAATGGAGGAGCACGCACAGCGAGAGCGCGAGAGGCAGGAGTCTACTGCCGACGGGGTCGAGGCGACTTCGACTTCGATAACCACGACGACTACTCCTTCTATGAGACTGGACGAGGCCACAATCAAATTGAAGGCGAAATCGCAGATCGGCATCGTCGACCCTCGCTCCTTCACAGTCGCTGAGGTAAGCTCTGCGACGCTTCTTTGCTTGCACCGCACTTTAAGGAAGCTGACGCTCACCATCGTCTTCTTGTTTGCTGCACACTCAGGCGGGACGACAGCGGAGGAGGGAGAAGCTCGTGAAGGCCAAACAGCGCCTCGCCTTGCTGCTGAAGAAATCTCCCAAGGCCATGCAGGTGCTGGGAGCGACGGGCGAGAAGATCAAGGCCGAGGGGCTGGTGCTTCCGGACCTCTTTCCGGTCAAGCTCGAGAGGGAGGTCGAACCAACTACACCTGTGCAGATGGTGTACGCCGAGCAGCCGTCACCCATCCAGCGCGGCCGAGCGGCCAGCAGGAAGCGAAAGCGCGAGCCGAAGCCTTGCAAGGTGGAGAGCGAAGGCGAGGTGAGCCAACCGATCAAGAAGGAGGAGGAGCTCGACGAGGAGGACTGGAAGATCGAGCGTTGCCTCTTACTGGGCGTGAGCGAGGCGCTCATCCTGGATGGCAGCTACGAGCTGGGCGAGAACCTGGCCGAGGTCTTCCCGCCGGTCTCCCACTCGGAGGAGCTCGGCGAGAGCGACATGGCCGACGAGGAGCTGCGGAGCTACATCCTCACCGGTCCCGAGCGTTCGCTCTTCAGCGAGGTCAAGAGCCACTGGGTAAGCGAGGAAGAAGAGGAGGGCCACAGCGAGCCGAACCAACACGTGTAGAACGTGGTAGTAAATTAATTCTATATAATATAATACAATACTTGTACAGGCGGGGGATGTGGCGTGGAACACAAGGGGGTGAGGCGGTGTTGTAGTTGGTGGTCGCTCTTTGTTGTAGATAAGTTGGGATTGGCGGTGAAGGCGCGGTGGTTGGCTGTCCGGTTTCCAGTGGGTTATTACTGGGGGCGAAGGTGTCGAAGAAATTCGAGGCTCCAAAGCGCAAACGAGCAAACGAGCAAAGAACTTGACGCCAACGCAAGACCGCAAGCATCTCTCCTCGATTCGAATGGGCGAGGAACAATCAAGTTGAACATACGTCGGTCCACTTCACTTGCTCCTTCGAGTCTCCGCGCATCCTGTGCACAAACACATTTATTCTGTAGATACCGCATTTCACATCATCCCCGCCACTGCCCTGTAGAAGACAAGATGGGAGGCGAAACGGACAACCTTCCGACGCGGAGGCGCACCAACTCGGGGCTTATGGGTTCTTCGGCCATGATCTCACCCAAGAAGGAAGAGGACACCACCTACGCCAAGCACACCCTGATGCGATGTCGATATTACTACGTCGGCTGTCATGAGATGGTATTTGCCTTCGGGTCCTGCCTTGTGAGTTGATGGTTTCCGAAGCGCTCATCCCCCCCCCCCCGCTGTGCTTCGCCAGATCGAGAGCGGCAAATACGTCCAGCATCTGGAAGATTACCAACGCGAGCATCTGCGGCAGCTGGAGGCGACGGTGGCGCTCCAATCGCAGAAGATCGCCCTGCTCGAGACTCAATCTGCGAATGCGGTCGCGGCGCAGTTTAGGGAGGAGCTTCCTCGCCTGGTCGAGCCAGTTCGCACCGCCCCGCAGCCGCTGTCGGCGAGGGAACTCCTGAACGCGTTGGCGGACCTACTGGAGAAACAGCTGTGCGAGTTCTTCTCGTCGACTCGCGAGTTCGCTGCGCCCAAGGCCGATGACTTCGACACGCCCGGCCTCAGGACATGGCAGATCATTCACCTCTTCGTCCTCTCCTTTGTCGTTTTCTGCTACCTGTCCCTTGCTGGTACATGCTCTCCTCTTCTTCTCCTGTTGGCCTCCATTCAACTCTCCGCCGCGTTCAACAAGACACACTGACATTTGGCTTCCTCTCCACAGGGATGGGCAGGCTGTGGGCCGTGCTGCAGTTCGTGCCGTTGGTGGCCTACGGCTCGCTGATGACCCTCCACTGGTGGTATGCGCTGTTCTTCTCGCCGGCCGCCAACACGGTCATCTCGCTCGGCGTCGTATGCCTCTGGGGCAGTATCAGCCTCTTCCTCCCTGTATTCTAATCCGCCTTACCTCTTCTCCTTCCACCTTCCATTCCTTCTCCTTTGTTTATATGAACGCTGTACAGACCAAGTCCCGCGCCTCCCTCTCCTTCTTCCCTTGTCCAAGTAAATGAACAAAAATCAAGTCTTCTTCTTCTTCAGGTGTGGCACGTAGTCTTGATACAGCGAATGGTGTTGCTCGCAGAGCCACGTCATCAGCAGGCGAGGATGTAACACAGCCACAGCAAAAGATACCTCACTGCCCGCGCAAAAAGAATAGAAACGTGAAAAATATCAGCGAAAGGAAAAGATGGAGGGCGTGAGCAAGCTGGCGGGTGCGGCACTGGTGGAGGCACCCTTTGGGTGGCCTCATGAAAAGCCGCAGGCGGTGGTGGCCCTCATCAAAGAGGCGCGAAGCCATCTGCAGCGCGGACCCGCCACCCGGCTCTACCTCCTCCTTGTCGGAGCCGAGCACCAAGTGTCGGTGTGCCCCCCCCCCTCTCCTTCACCACATGTGGAGTGTAGTCATCGTTCTAACGCACCATGTCGTGTCTGGCCGTGTTCAGGAGAAGGAGCTGGAGGAGGTGCTGGCCGGGTACTATGCCGCGGCGATGGAAGTAGACGACGAGCTGGAGGTCGTGGTGCTGCCACCCTTTGCTCTCCACAACTATGACCCTCGCACCGACCTACGCGACATCGCTGTGCTGCTGACCCTCGCGCCCGGTACACAACAGTTCTCCTGCCCACTCGTTGCGTTCGGGTACCCCCCACGTGCTGGCCTGACGCATCGCGTATGCCAAAGTCTCGGTCGAGGCCCAGGTGGAGGTGAACGCTGCGCGATCGAGCAAAGGCCTGCCGGCTCTGGCCTTTGATCAGCTGGAGACCGTCACCTGCACAGATCAGGCCCTACAGTCGCTCACTCAGGGTCCGCTCCGCCTGCTCCCCTCGACACCACCATCTGCGCGCACACTCACCACAGCTGCACTTCCTTCTTGCCCGTGGTGGCCATCAGGCTTTCCCACATACAAGGAAACCGTGCTGGGCGGTACCTTCGACCGACTGCACGCAGGCCACAAGGTACACCCCTGCTTAGCGCACCACTTGTGGTCATCTTCTGGTCACTCACACGGCGTGCGTGCAGATCATGCTTACGATCGCCGTGCTCTCTACTGAGCAAAAGATGGTCGTGGGTATCACTGGTACGTGTCTCTGGCTGCTAAAAGAGCAGATTCGTATGCCGTGGCTGAGCGCTTATCGTGTGCACCAGGTGATGAGATGCTGAAGAACAAGAAGCACGGGGATGTCATGCAGCCCTACCAGCAGCGCGCGTCCACGACCGTAGACTTCCTCAACGCCATCAACCCCTCCGTGGCCTATGAGGTGCCTGGGCGTTGATGCTTTTATTGTTCAATTCATGTGATCGCCCTGGTCGTGTTCTTATCGGTGTCACGCAGACCATCGAGATCAACGACCCCTACGGGCCAACCCTCACCGGACCCACGTTCAACGCCATCATCGTGTCTGAGGAGACACAGAAGGTAGGCCAGCAAAAGCGTGGGGCTCTAATTCGTGCGTGGTGACTAACTGTGAGCTCGTCCGCAGGGGGCAGCGGACATCAACGAGAAGCGGAAGGCCAACGGCTTGCAGCCACTGGAGGTGATCGTCGTGCAGCTCGTCCACGCGCCCCCAGGCCTCGGGTAACCGTCTCTCTCGCCTCGTCTCTCACGAGAAGTCTGCAGCTAACACGCGTATGTGGCGAACTCACCCAGGGAGGGCAAGCTCAGCTCCACCGCCCTTCGCGAGAAGTACAAGAAACAGCACACGGGCGCATAGCAAGGGCGTCACACACGAAACTGGTCACCTTTTTGTTTTGCAGCAGCTCAGCTTCTGAACAAGACAAACCAGTTGGTTGCGCTGGTCTGGTCGGGATTCGATCCGTCGCCCGATGGTCCCTGTCTCTTTTTTCGTTGGTTCTTTCCACAGGATGCCGGCAGCTCTTCCTCTCCGCATCGCCCCCTTCTGGCGGCCTGGTTGTACATGCGGGCTCATAAAACGAAACGCGATCGAGCTGCTCCACACAGCACTACTGCTTCCTGCACACACCTGACCAAGGCAAGGTACAACCGCTCAGCCCTGTGCGTGTTCTGTTGTCGCTGATGTCCTCTAAATGTCCCCGTGACCACACACAGATGGCGACTCGCCCAGTGCGCGTGCAGAGAAGAGAGGGCAGGCGGATCACCCGCTACGAAGAGCCCGAGTTCGAACAGACTCGGTACGACCTGCGCGAGTCCACGGGAGGCGCCGGGCGACGTCACTACGATGAGCAAGGCCGTGGCGGCGGCGGTCGGTACTACGCGAAGCGGATGCCCAGCCCGATGCGTGTCGGGCGCCGCCGTGCGCGCTCGCCCTCACCCGATGTCTACAGGGAGACTGCCCGCCGGCGCAGGGAGTACCCCGCCACCGGCAAGCGCCCCGCGGCCGTAGCCAGCGCCGCGCCGCCGGCCGAAGAGGAGTACGAGGCCCACCCGCTGGACGAGTTCGATCGGTACATGCTGGCCAAGCGGCGGCGCCGCGGCCGGGCGCGGGAGCACATGCGGCCCGCCGCCCGGGAGATGGAGCGGATCGCCTATCCTACGGGTCCCGTCGGCCTTCGTCGCCGCCGACATAGGGAGGAGGAAGAGGAGCCCGAGAGCGAGCACTACCCCTCCGAAGGAGAAGAAGAGAATGAAGAGTATGAGCGCTTCCGCGAGCAGCGCCAGCGTCGACTGGCGGGCTACGGCGAAGAGCGCAGAGGGCGCCAGATGACCAGGAGGCGCGACCTGGTCGCCGGTCGGCGCGGCCGCGAAGAGGAGGAAGAAGAAGGTGAAGGAGAAGAAGGAGAGGAGGGCCATGAGTACTACTCCCCCGAGGAGCTGGAGGAGGAAGAGGGAGAAGGGTACACCGAAGAGGAGGAGGGCGAGGGGCTGATGAGCGCCCCCGAGGAGCTGGACGAGGACGAGGAGTTCATCACGGGCCGGCGCATGCCGATTCGGCGACGCGGCGCCGACTATGGTCGCGGCGGCGGCGAGACGACCCAACGCTTCAAGCTGAGGAGAAGAGGCCCAGAAGAGGAAGAGGAAAGGCGAACTGGAGGAAGAGGTAGGAAGAGAGGGCGCGAGGAGGAGCACGAAGAGGAGCACGAAGAGGAGCCGCAAGGAAGGCGAGCCCGGAAGCTGCCAGCGCGGAAGACCCATCGCCACCCCACCTACGAGGACATGATCGGTTCGTACCCCCCCCCCAAGCGTTGAGGCGCGCCCATGCTACTCACTTGGCGGATGTTGATGTGGGTGGTCACAGCCGAGGCGCTGGTCAAGGTGGGCAAGAACGGCAAGGCGAGCGGGGTGGCCATCTTCAAGTACATCCACGACCACTTCGACATGCCGGCCAATGACCGACTGGTCAGGAACCACCTCCACCAGGTACCAACCGTCGTCTTGTTCCATGTTTCATGTGCGCTCTTGGGCTGATGTTGTCGTGTCGTGTCGCGGTCAGGCATTCGAGCGGCTGATGGATGACGGGAAGCTGCGCCACAAGAAGGCGTCCTACGTGCTGCCACGCAACCTGCTGACCGAGTACGGCACCAAGTACGGCGCCGCCAAGGAGGAGGCCCAACAGAAGGCCGAGAAGAAAGAAGGCGAGGACCAGCAAGGCGCGCAGAAGGAGGGCGTCCAAGAAGGTGGTGAGAAGGGGCAGGAGAAGGGCCAGACCACCGAAGAGGCGCAGGAGAAGACTGCAGCCGGCGGAGAACAGCCGAGTGAGGAAAAGGGCGCCGCGGAGCAGCAGGCGGGCGAAGGCACCACCGCGTCGAAGAAGGGCGCTGGCGGACGCAAGAAGTCGCGTTGATGAGAGCCCCCCCCCCTGGTGATAGCGGAGCCAATGGCCATAGCAGGAATAAAACAAACCTTTTCCGTCGGCCACTGCCTAGCAAACAAACCAAAAACAAGAAGTCAAGACAAAAGCGAGGATGCGGCTGGAGGAAGAGAAGGTGGGTGCAGGTCCCAATGAAACCGGATTAGGCGAAGAGGCGGAGCCGGACGACGAGATGGACGAGGAGGAGCGGCAGATGCTGGCCGAAGCTGTCCGGCGTCTGGCTTCCAGACCGCGCAGGCACCGAATGCATCGAGCACAGCAGAAGCGTCGCGCTATGGAGCTCGCAGCCCTCCGGCAGCTCCACAGGAGGAGAGTTGAACGCAGAGAGTTACGACAACTGCCTTCTTCTTGATATCACCCCGTGTCGATAGCTCAATGCAGAACCTCCTTCATGCAGTGTTGTATGTGCGTAATGGGGGCCATTGCATTATACTGTTGTGCAGTCCAGAGTTTTAGTTGCCGTGCCGGCCAGATTGGAGGGCTTCCAGGTCGATGCTGAACCGCTCCTTGACGTAGGGCGTGTAGACGTCCTCCAACGGCTCCTCCGTCAGATGGTCCTGCAACTTTTTCACCTGGGGGTTCGCAAGTGGTGAAGGTGAACATGGTGAGCAGTCTGAGAAAAACCAATGTCAGGTCTGCCACAGCAGGGGCGTGTACCATGTGGACACGATCAGGGTGGGACTTGAAACGGTGCCAGGCATCGAGCGATGTCCAGGTCTGTGTGGTGAGGTGCTTGTGCTTGTGCTCAACAGACCACAGGTGCTCGCTGCCAATGAAACCTGCACAACATCATCCCACATTGAGCCTCCTGGAGAGAAAGGAAAAATGGGGGGGGGAGGAAGTGGTACCATCGGCGTTGAGCGCGAGCCGACGCAGGTCGCGCATTTGGGAGAGGAAGGACGCCTCCGAGCCCTCCTTGACCCACCTCACGATGTTTGTCCGCACGAAGCCAGGTCTCGCCATACTTCCTCCGCTTGGTTGTGAGGCCCTTGTTGGGTTGGTTTTTGCTTGTCGCGGGCCTGGCCGAGCTATTTATGAAGTAGTAAATGCTCTCAGACTTCCGGAAGATCTCGATGAAAATTCACCCAACCTTTGCCCTCCTTTCAAATACGGTGCTCTTCTGTGGCTGGGTGAGGCCTCCTTGTGTTAGTGGAAGAGAGCATGGCCCAGTGGGTGTTCATGGCAGGCATCTTCTGGGAGAAGCAAACAAGCCTGAAGTACTATGGTGTCGATTTCTCATTGTTGGTCTCCAGCAGCTGCGACCACACCAACATCCACCACCCAACGTACCAGAGGCACATGGCTCTGGTAGTCAACCACCTGCTCAAGGGACTGGAAGACGTCCTGGAGCTGCTTCTGCTGCTTGAGCTGGAGCAAGCTGAGGACCCGCATCATCACCTCCACTGGCTCCCCGAGTTCATCAGCCAGCCGTCGCATGCAAGGCTCTTGGCCGCCTTCAAGTGCAAGCTGGTGCCTCCGCAGCGTTTCCTCAGCCCTCGCACTGGAGAAAAGCGGAAAGACCTGGAGCACTGCGCAGCGAAGGACAACTTCTACGTCACCGCCACTGCTCTACAAGCTCTTCACCAAGCGCGGCGACTTCCCCGATCTGGCGACGTCGTGGCAGGCTCTGCGCGCTAGCCGTCCCGTAAGCCCAGGGACCGCGCTGGCCGAGGCCGAGCGCAAGCTGCGCGAAGAGGCGGTGTCGGTGTTGGAGATTTCCGCCGAGCAAGCCGGACGCTTGGAGCTGCGAGACACCGAAGGGCACGTCCTGGACTGCAAGTGGAGCAAAGAAGACGGCAAGCTGCTCGTGGCGTCGTCTCGCCTGCCCAACGAGCTCGGGGGCAAATGGAAGATGCTCAAAGCCATCCGTTGCCAGGTCAAGGCCATGGAGAAGAGCCTTCGCGAGAACGAATCTCCTGCGCGTTCGCTCCCCGCCGGCGCGGAGCCCGCGGAGAACACCGTTCTGACCCCCTCCTCCCTGACCTCGAGCTCGTCCAGCTCGTCCAGCTCATCATCGTCTTCGTCGTCTCCACTGTCATCATCGACTTCCTCCCTGCCAAGCTCTCTCAGCAACATCCCGGCAGCGCTAGATCACGAAGATGCCGACATCGAGGGCGACGACGTCGAAAGCGAGGACGACGTGATCAAGCTTGAGGCGGATATGGCCATCGAGCACCAGACCGCAGATGAGAATGAGGTCGAAGGAGATGCCGAGACGGGTATCGACACCACCCAGCAGCAGCAGCAGACCGCCCCCAAGAACGAGCCGACCGCGACCCCTCCGGCCACCTTCAGGGACCACGGGGCGTTGCCCGAGGGGAACGATGGCGGAGACTGGACCGAGGCGCTCACCGACGGCCAAGCCCCCGCCCGGGACGAGCCGCGTGATGCCCACTGCGCGACGCTAGCCGACCGTACCATGCGCGTGAAGTACAGGCCTCTCGACGACGACGACCAAGTTGTGGACTGCACCGAGCGCGGATACGATCGTCTGCGCAAAGCCCCCAAGCCCCAGCTCGTCGAGATCGTGGCCGGCATCCGCGCCATCGTCGATGCCCTCGGCCATCCGGTAGCGCCCGCCGTGTGCTGCGTCGAGTACGAGTTCGAGGCAGTCTTTGCCGCCCAGTCGAGCTCCTACAGCATCAACCTGTGGCCGCTGCTGCACCGGGCCTGTACACCCAGCGCGAGCTGTTCGCCCACCTGGTGGTCCTGCTCAGCCACGAGGTGGCGCACCTGTACGTTCCCCAGGCTGGACACGGCGCGCAGCACGGCCGCATGACCGAAGACCTGGTCGCCCATGCGCTGCTCAAGTCAGACATGGCCTGGACCCGCGAAAGCATTGCACCAGGTACCGCCACCCGCTTGTGCGATCTGATCATATGCGTGCCCCGCCACTTGCGCCCAGGCTCACCAACCGGCACAGCTGCAGCCGCCGCCTTGATGGCCATTGAGGACGTGGAGCCGCCCCTGCAACGCCGACGCAGGGTGACCGAGCCCGGACCTCAGCCGCCAGCCCCGCCCCGCGGCCAGCGCCTGCCGTCGGAGACAAGCAAGAGGGGCTGAGCGCGTTACAACATGGAAACTGTGTGAGCCTTCACCCAATCACCAACACAAAACTATTACTTTTACCAATTGCAATCAATGATCACTCCATCAACATCTCAACGTGGATGTTGGGCGGAGGTGCGGCGGTGATGAAGGCCAGCTTGCGATTGCTGAGGAGTGGGTCCTTGGCCTGGCCCGAGAGCGAGGGCTGTCGCTTGACCACCGGCGCGGCGAGACCACCGGGCTGGCCGGCGATACCCGACCCGCTGTTGGGCTCCGGGGCGCCAACGCCGGTGTAGAGGGCCGACTCGGTGCCCGAGGACGTCAGCGCCGCCGTGGCCGCGTCTCGCTCCTTCTCCTTGTCGTCCTTGAAGTAGATGTTGGCCTGGCCCTCCCTCAGACCGTCTCGCCACTTGCCCTCGAACTTCTCGCCCGACAGTCCATTCACCCACACGCCGGCGCCATGCAGCTGAGAAGCGAACGGCTGGTACAGTCTCACCGCACACACGACACACACGACACTCACGACACACACGACACACACGACACACACAACACACACGACACACACGACACACACAACACCGCACACGTACGACGTCCTTGCGGAACTGGCCGTCGTAGGTGGAGTTGTCGGAGTAGGCGGCCTTGCCCTTGCCATTTCGCCTGTCGTTCTTCCACTCGCCCTCGTACTTGATGAGGTAGCCGGTCTTGGCGGTGTAGGTGCCCATGCCCTCCCGCACGCCCTTCTTCCACTGTCCTGAATATACACTGCCGTCGGCGTACCGCATCGTGCCCTGTTTGCGTCAAGTTGCGTTAGGCCCCGGGCGTGTGTGTGAGTGCGTGCGTGCGCACGTACGGTGCCCTCCCGCTTGTCGTTGACAAAGTCGCCCTCGAACACTCCGTCGGCGTTGGTGAGGGTGCCGAGGCCGTGCTTCTGGTCGTTGAGGTACTGCCCCTGGTACTCCTCGATCATGAACGACGGGTCGTGCTTCAGGTACTGCTTGTACACTCCTGCGCGAGTCACGAAAACACAATTGATCAATATCAGGGCAATCGCAAACCACTAATAACGAAGGTCGTCGTACCGATGCCATCGCGCTTGCCGCTCACCCACTCGCCCGAATAGGTCTTGCCCGCCGGCAGCGTCAGGTGGCCCTTGCCGTGGAACTGCGCAGGCGGCGACAAAAGTGGTGGTCAGCCGCCGACAAAGATGCGAAATGAAGGGGAAGAGAAGAGTATGGTGCGCACCTTGCCGTCCTTCCACCCTCCGGCGTACTGTACACCGGTGACGCCGATGAACTGGCCCTGGCCGTTAGGGCTGTTCTCGGCCCAGTTGCCCTTGTAGACGTCGCCGTTGGCGAAGGTCATGTCGCCCTTGGCGTGCCGCTTGCCATCCTTCCAGCCACCGGCGTACTTGGCGCCCGAGGGATAGAGCATCGTACCAGCTCCGTCTGTTTTTATGTCCGATCGGAGTTAAATTTGAGTCCGAAACCGAGTGAGACTGTGTGGGTGGGGGAAGTCGGGCGTACTTTGCACATCGTCCCTCCAGTCGCCTTCGTAGATCTCGCCCGTGGAGAAGACCATCTTGCCGTAGCCGCTCTTCTTGTCTTCGCCGAACTCGCCTTCGTAGGTCGACCCGTGCACCTTCATGATACCCTTGCCATCGAGCTGAGATCACGGACACGGACACTCATCGTGTCAGCGCACTCATTGCGGTCATAATAGTACATAAGAACAACCCTTGGGGTGCACCGGATGTCAAGCGTACCATGCCGCTTCGCCAGTCGCCCTCATAGTACACCGAGTTACGGAATTGGAAGACGCCCCAACGACGGTCGCCCAGTTCCTGCATTCAACAGAGCAGCGAGAGTCAATGACGATGATTACGGTGATGATGATGATACGAGAGCTGACTGACAAGGCACGGACCTTGTTGATGGGGTGCTGTTGGATGTTCTTGGCGCCTTCCATGGCGTTTCGCAGCTCCCGGAGCCACTGGGCCTTCTCTTCAGCGGTGTTGACCTTTATGTTGTACACCTTCGAGGGACCCATGATGTCGAAGAAGTACTGATTCTTCTTGTCTGTAATCGTCGTGTGCGTGTGCGTGTGCGTGTGCGTGAGCTTGGTCGCGATTTGGATTGCTGTTGGAAGCACGTGAATGGTACCGAGGGAGGGATCATCCTTGAGCCAGACCAGTTCGAGCGGCCACTGGAACTCCTTGGAGTCGGCGATGGCCTTCTTGCTCGCGCCGAGCTTGGACAGCTTGGACTTGGGGAAGGGAACCAGGATGTCGTTGAAGATGAGCAGCTGCAGCTTGCCGCCGCCCACCGCCGCCGTGGCCACCTCGCCCTCACGCAAAAGCCTTCTGTGCGCGGCCAACAGTCCTTGCTGCACGCGCCCAACTAGCTGGTTAGTCAAAATGATCGGAGCGCGGGGCGCTCGCTGCAAGTTGGCTTGGCGCGTACGAAGGTGGACTGGGTCGAGATCTCGAGCAGTCGCTGCTGCTTCTCGTACTCGTGCAGGCCCTTATCAATCTTGACGGCCACGTCATCAACCTGGGTGGCGTACACAACCACGAAAAACCAGTCATGAGTCCTGAAATCAACTCAACTGATCTCAACTGAACGCAGGAAGTGATTGTTGGACGCACCTTGGCGAGAGCCTGCTTGAGGAGGTTGTGGTCGGGGTGCTCCTGCGGGGTGTGTCTGACCATGTCCTCGAGCAGCAGCTTGTATCGGGGGATACGCTGGATGGGCATGATCAAGCAGGCCTCCACGCGTATGTCGACAAGCTCGTCCAACTCCTATGAAACGGAGCACCACCGTTAGTGACGTGAATAGGAGTTAAATATATATAATATATGAAGGGCTTGGCTTTGCTTACCCTGACTTTGTTGCCAAAGGCCTGGTCCTTCATGAAATTGGTGTAGATGGAGAGGGCTGTCTCATAGCGGTTCTCGTAGTCGGCGTACATCTTCAGGAAAGGCGCCTGTATGATTGCAAGTGCGTCTCTTTTTAGCTCCGATTGATCATCCGTCACTCATAATAGAAGCGAAAGCTATAATAGAAGAGGAGTGTGTACGATAGTGAGGAACACGTCGCCGATGGTCTGTTCCTCTCGCCAGTTGCTGATGCACACCTGGCCGACCCCGAAAGAGACCACATTAGCGTCGATATGACATCGAGAGCTGGGGACCAGCGGTGGCGCGGTACCTCGAGACGGTTGAGCAGCTCCTCGTTGAGCGGCAGGATGGAGGGCAGGGTGCTGAAGATCTTGTTGATGCCCTCGGTGGTCAGCTTGGTGTTGGGATTCTCCACCGCCTGGGCCGCACACAGCTCCAGCAGCGGCTGGTGGTAGACCTGGATCAGCCGCTTCAGCGAACTGATGTAACTGCGCTCCGTCTCGATGATCTCGTTGGAGATCTTTGTTCTTCGCTCTGCGCACACGCACGCACGCACCACCGGGTGTGGCGTCAGCCATTCATGTTCACCATGATGCCCGCATGGCGGAGTAGTGTACCGAACGGGGTTTCGGGCTTCTTGGGCGGGGGCGGGGGCAACATCTCCTCGGGCGGGGCCGGCAACTCATCGAAGCTGGCGACCGAGGCCGAGGGCGACGCCAGAATGGGCAGCGCCACGCCGCCCATCGGAATTCCGTGCATCGTGAACGGTCTGTGTCGCAGTTCATGGGTGCTGATGTCAGCAAGAGAAAGAGAGAGAGAGAGAGAGTGCGAGCGAACGAGCCAGCGCCGGCGATGGTGGCGTACCTGGGCATGGGAGGTGTGAATGGTGCGGCGGCCTCTTCGGCGGTGTCATCCTCGGAGCTGACCCCATCGGCGGTAACGTCGGACATGGAGCCCTTGCGCTTCATGCTGAACCGCGCCTTCAATCCGGTGAGGCCTCTGTCGGGCAGCTTCTTCTCGCCGCTCTCCTCCTCGCTCAGCGCACCTGGTGCCACGCAAGACTCGCCCATGAGCGTCGAACAACAATCGACACACGACACACCGCATATGCAAAAGAGGAGGGAGCGCCCGGCGTACGTCCGCTGTCGGTCAGTTTCTTGCGCAGGTCGTCCGGGTCCTCCGGCTTACTGGGTTTGCGCATGAGCTGGTTCTCCAGCGACTTCTTCTTGTCGTCAAAGTCTGGTGTAGTGTGGGAAAGGTGTGAGCAATCAAAATAATAAGATAGAAAAGATAGGGAGAGATTAGGGGTGGGCGCACTGTCACTGGGCTCGCGCTCGGGCAGCGGGAGCTCGTCGGTTCCGATGTCGGGGGAGTCGGCCCGCTTGGGGTCCTTCTTCTTGACGATCTCCTTGAACTTGCCCATGCGCACGCTGAGGCGATTCTTGACCTTGGCGTTCTTGGCCTCCTCATCCGGACCGGGCGACGGCGGCGAGGTCGGCGGAGCGTCGCCGCCGCTGTTGGGGCTCGGCGCACCGTTGGGTCCGAAGTTGAGCGACGACAGAGCGGCCTGCGCCGCGGCAAACGACGGCGATCGGGGCTAAAAGAAAAAGAAAACCATAAGCGCAAGGTTGGTTGGTTGCCAGTGTGAGAGGGAGGGACTAGGTACCTCTGGGCTGGGCGAGACACGCGGTGGCTGAGGGGAGAACGTGGACATCGGACGCATGCCACCCGGAGACGACGGGCCACCTGTTGGCACGGAAGTGAGTGAACCAAGTGTGTGCGTGTGCGGTGAAACGTGCGCGTGCGTGCGGTGGGTCGGCGTACCAGCAGCGCCGATGGGTGGGAGGTTGGGGGGCATATTTGGAGGCATGGGCGGTACGGCGCCGGGTGCCATCGACACCGGTCGCCCTCCCGGGCTCCCCGGAGGCACCGGTCGAATGCGCCCGCCTGCGCCGTACCACCGACCATAGCAACAGATCAATCGCATCGTGACACGTCAGCACACGCCAGCTTCAAGCCTTCGCGAAAGAAGGGAGGAGGAGGCGTACTGGGCATGATGACTGATCCGCCGCCGATGGGCGGAGGAGGCGGGGGCGGGAGGTCGGGCGCGGGGAGCGGCAGCAGCTGATCGACGGCGTCGCGCGCGGGAATCGAGGGAGGCGGGGGGAAATCCGGAGGCGGCACGCTCGGCGGCGGAGGAAAGGCCGGAGGCGGCGGCAGGTGCTGCACCGGCAGCGACGGCGACGACAGCGAAGCCGCCATACCACCCCTCCCACGCCCGCCTTGCATTCATTCGGCCCACACACAACACAGCAGACGATCAGAACTGATTCGAGGAATGCCAAGTATGTTGGGAGGAGAGGGCGGCGTACCACCACCACCGCCGCCGGCGCGGCCAAAGGCGGGCGGCTCGGGCGAGGACAGGGAGTGGTCACGGCCCTGGGGCGCGGAGACGGTCAGAGGTGAGGCCCGGCCTCTCCCTCGGCCCGCTGCAAGCCGCGACGCACCGCAACGGCGACGCCATGACAACGACGACGATGGGTTAGGTCACCACGCTGGAAAGAGAAGAAGAAAGAAGAAAGAGAGAAGGAAGAAGGGGCGGAGGGTACCCATAGGGTGGGGAGGAGGGGCGTGGGTCGGGGGTGGCGGCAGTTCGGCATCGTCGGTGCGCGGCGGGAGCGAAGGGGGCGGCGCGTCGCCCGCGGGAGGGTCCACCAACGCGTTCACTTGGTTGACTGCTCACGGCCGCCGAAAAACAAAAAGAAAGCACAACCGCACAACCGTGTCAGAACAATAAAGAAAAAAATAAAGAATAAATAACGGTCCTTGCAACTTCGATCTTAAGAAAATAAATAAATAAATCATACAGCACAGCTTCGTCTTGGGGGGGGGCAAAAATGAAAACGACAAAAAGAACGAAGCCCTTGAAGAGAGGGGGGGGCGAAGAGGAAGGAAAAGAAACAAACCTCTGATTCCACCGCGACCGCGGCCAGGCGGACCGCCGGGGCCGATTGCAGAATGACTCGAGCCCAGACCCGAGGGCTGATGTGGTTGCGTGCTTCCTCCTCGGCCTCCTCGTGGGGCGGGACCACCGCGACCGCCCGGGCCGAGCATGCTCTTCATCTGCTGGAGCATCGTCGGGTCCATCGACAATCGCTTGTCCATCTTGCTTTAAACCCTTCTTCTTTTCTACTTCACGAAGCCTCTCTTTCTCTCTTGTACCTCTCGTTCAAAATCTACACGATCTAATCCTCGACCTTGCTGGGCGGCAACCAGCTGGGGGGGGGGTTGTGTTCGCCTTCGTGCCCGTGTAAGCCGGTTGATACGAAGTGAAGACCGGCCGGTCGTTGGTGGTTGGCTTGAAATTAAAAGTCGACCGAACTCCTTGACCACCGGTGCCGCGCCCTGCAACCGATGTTAAAGAAATGTTTTGATTTTACAGAGAAAACAAAAGGAAAATGCTCTCCTTTAAAAAACTGGCCGTTTACTCTTTTCCCTCCTTTTCTGGTGTTGTACAAGACTTCACATCTGGCACCTGATAGAGCATCACATAGCATAGTATGGGCAAGAAGAAGAGGGGGACTGCGAGGACCTCGAAGAGGAGACCTGTACGCCACCCAGCGCCACTGCGATCTCGGCAGATTGTGATGACAATGCGCTACAAGTCATCTTTTTTTCAATATATATTTTGATTTTATTCGCTCTCATGATGATCAGGGGCGACCGCGCAAAGTGCCCGCCGAGGAGGAGGAAAACGGAGAGTACGAAGTCAAGGTACACTGCCCGACACTCTCCCTTCTTACCCTCCTACCCCCAATATGCTGGCGCGGTGCGGTGCGGTTTGTGCGGTGTGTAATGGGTGTGTGCGTGTGCGTGTGCGTGTGCGGTGTGTTTGCAAAGGTCCTCCGCACGAGGGTGGTGAACGGGGTGGAGGAGTCGCGCGTGCACTGGGTAGGTTGGGGCTCGCAGTACGACGAGTGGAAGCCCTCGTCCGAAATCAACCTGCACCAGGAGGAGGAGGATAAAGAAGCCGCCGACGTTACGAAGAAGAGGAAGAAGGTGAAGGTGAAGGAGGAAGAGAAGGAGGACGGGGAAGAAGAAGAGGGAGAGAAGGAGAAGGAAAAGGCGAAGGAGGACGGTGCACAGGTTCTCGTTGCCGACAGCCAGAACGAAAGGGAGCAGGAGGAAAAGGGAAGGAAAGCGAAGAAGAGGGCGCGATCGCGGAAGGGAAAGGAGAAGGCCGCGGACGATGAAGAAGAGGAGGAAGAGGAAGAGGAAGACGATGACGACAAGGACAAGGACTACGAGGACGGGAACAAGAAGAAACAAAAGAAGAAGAGGAAGAGCTTGAAGAGAAAAGAAGTTGAAGAAGAAGAAGATGATGATGAAGACGACGAAGAGGAGAGGCCGCGCAAGATGATGTGGACGGCCAAGGAGCTGGCTCAGCTGGAAGAGGCCGCGGAGGAGGCCAGCATGCCGGGCGCAGTGTCGTGGGTGCAGGTCGCCGCCCAGTTGGGCAATCGCACGCCCAAGTACGTTGTTAGGCCACCACTCGACAACCTCCCTTGGGTCTTTGTGCCGAGACGCAGTACTGACGCGTGAACGGGGGGTTGCAGGTCGTGCAAGCGCAGATGGCAGCGATTGCAGACTTGCCACGCGTATTACAAGTCGCCCAAAGAGCTGAAGCAGAGAGAGGTGCGCACACGCACACACACACACACACACCACACACACATGCACGCGCGCGCAGCTGCTGTCAGGCCTATGGCACGATGCACGGTAGCGCGTACAGGTCACGTCTGTTTGGGCTCACACGATCTTCTCCGTTTTTTCGAAGAAAATGATCAACGAGAGCCGCCTGCGCCCCTGGACGGAAGCCGAGGAGACCAGGCTCATGAAGGAGGTCGCCAAGCAGGGACTGCACTACGACAGCGGTACGGCACACATCACAGCTAGCGCTATCTACACGTCAACACTGCTTGCCTAACTCACTTCTCGTACGTTGTGTGCCGTGTGTGTGTGTGTGTGTGTGGTACGGTGACAGACTTGTGGATGGCACTGGAATCGAAGTTCAAGAGGTCCGCCGGGGCGTTGCAGCTGCGCTGGTCCGAGCTGCACGACAAGCGAGGCGGCGCCGTCGACCTCGACAGCGAGGCCGCGAGCGACTTTGACGATGACGACAACGAAAAGCAAAAGAAAAAGCAAAAGGAAAAGGAAAAGAAGAAGGAAAAGAAGGAGACGCGACGAAGGCTCGCCTTCCAGTCGAGTCAGGAGGCCGACGCCTCCCAGGGCGGAAGTGATCGCGAGCCGGCAGCAGCCGCAGAAGGGGAGCAGGAGCCAGAACAAGAGCCAGAGCCAAATCGAGCACGAGCAGCCAAGAAGGGGCGCGGTGGCGGCGAGGAGGAGAACAGCGAAGGCGATGACGCGGAGAAGGGCAGCGGGGGCAAGGCTGGCGAAGTGCAGAGCACCAGCCAGCAGAGCGCGACGAGCTACCGCCGCAAGCAGCGCCGGCCAGGCTCGAGCGGCAGCGGCCAGCGGAAGAGCTACGCGCTGTCCCGCGTGGCGTATCCTCTCAGCGCCTCGCAGGAGGCCACAGCCGCTCCTGACCGCTCGCCTGACGCGGCGTACGAGAAGCCGCGCAGTCGCGGGAGGAAGAGCGAAGGCGAAGAAGAAGTGGAGGAAGAGGAGGAGGAGAAGCAAAGGAAGCAACCGAGCAAGAAAAAGGGAAGAAAGAAGAAGGGAGAGAAGAAGCGAGCGAGACGGGACGAAGAAGAAGAGGAGGGCTCGCCCTACATCAGCCTCGACGAGATGGACTCGCCCATCCGCCGCGAACCCGAGCCAGACTTTGCTCTCGCCGCCGCCGCCGCCGCCGCCGCCGCGGCTGAAGCAGACGACCACGGAATGCCGGTCGATCTGGGCGTCGCCGCCGGAGACAATGAAAGCCAGCGGGAGGCGGCAGAGGCGGCAGAGGAAGACGTAATCGAGATGGGAGACGCGCCCGGCCAGGACGACGTCGGGCAAGGCATGGCACTGGTGGAGAACGAAAACGAAGAAGACAAAGACGAAAACGAAGAGGAGGGCTACAGCGACGGCATCGAGGAGTTGGACTTCCCGCCCAGGCGCTCGCCCGCGAAGAAGAAGAAGAAGAAAGCGAAGAGCCCAGGCAACGAGGAGGAGGAGGAAGAAGAAGGCGAAGGGGAGGATGTAAGCAGCGCTGAGAGGGAGAGGAGGAAGGAGAGGGAGAAGCGGCAGGCGGAGCGGCTGCACGCGTGGGTGGAGCGCCAGCGTGAACTGAACCTGCAGAAGTACGGCCAGCGGACGCTCTCGCCCCGACTCGCCGGCCGGCGACGCACGATCGCCGGCGAACAGCTGCGGCAGCAGTACCCGCCGCAACCCGCCGAAGCTTCGGACGGCAACCATGGCAACAGCGACGGCATCGACGATGACGCGGGGCAACGGAAGCGACGGCGCACCACCATCGCCGACGAACGAGAGGCGGCAGCGGCGGAGGAGGAAGAGGTCGACGACTTTCTGATGGGGCAGAGGCCGACGACGGGCAAGCGACGGCGTCGCGCGTCTTCGCCTGGGCTCGACGCGGGGGAGCACAAGGGGCGAGAGAGCAAGCGAGCGCGCCGGGCCGAAGCAGCGGAGGCGGAAGCAGAGTGGACGATAGTCGATCTGGGCGTCGCCGCCGAAGAAGATGAAAGCGGCCGCGAGGCGGAGGAGGAGGCGGAGGCAGAGGCGGAAAAGGAAGCGGCGGAGGCGGAAGTCAGCGTGGAGGAGGAGATGGAGAGAAAGACGATCGCCACGTTCGAGAGGATAGCCCGCGAGAGGCGGGAGGCGCTCGAAGAGAGAAGAAGAGCGGCGGCCGACCATGGTGACGCGCCGGGCGAGAAGGAGGAGACGGAGATCATCGCGCGGATCGAGAGCGTGATCGCCCGGCGCAAGAAGGCCGTGGTCGACC